TTCACTTTGTGTAGCATTTTCTCGATCCTATGGTCAGCCCAAGTGGAGGACACTTTGAATCGACAGTTGGGTCTCTTGAGTGCGTTGTCTATGAGAGACTTCCAGTCCTTATTGTTTTCGAGAGATCGGGCAGATATGCATAAAATCATTGAATACTTGGCTCGAGTGAGCGCCACATTCATCCGCTGAACTGAATTCAGAAATCCAATCGACTGATTAGAATTGGTATCAAAAGCTCGAACAGATGACAAAATAATAACATCCCGTTCCTGGCCTTGAAAGCCATCGACAGTATTGACTTCAATGTTGAACTTAAAGTTGTTGTTCTCGAGCTTCTTATTGAGACAATGTTTCTGTCCGTTATATGGAGTGATGACTCCTATGTTGTATCTTTGAGAGGAATCACTACTCGGACACAGCATTCGTTCAATAATAGTGAGCAAACGGACCACAAAATTGGCCTCTAATTCGTTATATTTATTACTCGGATCCGATGAGTTCTCCTGAGTGTCCGTCACATCAAACACAATATACGGCTTAAGTTTGAAATCTCTGTTTCGGATCACTTTCTCACTGCAAGTGAGTCTTCCGTCATAGAAGTGTTTCGACGGAAACTCACAGATCTGTGGATGCATTCGGTATTGTTCTGTAAGCATCAGAATAGGACTCTTTTGTTCGGGATCTTTGAGTTCACATTCGCGGAAGTAATGGAAGAAACGCTCGAAGAGAGAGCGACCCAATTGAAGATTACTGGCCTTCTTCGAGATGACTGTCGCCGGCAATTGCATGGGATCTCCAATTAGTATCATTTTTGTCATCTTATAAGCCAATGGCATCAGTAGCTCGGGTTCACTGCATTGGGACGCCTCGTCCACAATGACACAGTCAAAAGTGGACGGACCTATACTGTGGTACAGATTCTCAATGGGTGCCGAATGGCTGCTGTTAAGTGTGGTTAATATGATGTCGGCGTTGAACATAACCGATGTTCTCATTCGGTGTCTATTAGTTTCAATTCCTTTCATTGGTTTCATTGGTTTACCGCTGAGTTTATTGAGTGCGAGGGCCAGGTTTGCCATCTCTTTATCGTTAACGACGAGTTGAGTGGTCTTGCGGTCGGCCCTAAGGTTGGCGCTCTCCTGTTCCAACTTCGAGATCTTATTCTCAATGTCTTTCATTTGTTTCTCTATCGTCTCCTTCGACTTCTTCTCTTCCATCTCGAGGTTCTTCGAGACGATGGACTCCAAACACATTTTGCGCACCTCTTCGTGGACCTGAGGGCCCTGTCCCACGCGAACCAACCGGATCTCACGATTGCATTTATGTTTGTAAAGGTATTTCCTCTCGCAGTACAGTCTTCGCGCGATCTCATCGACGGCGCCATTACTCGGCGCACAGATTAGGATACGTGGCGGTCTCTCATCTGTGACACACTTCATGTAAATATATTTAATGATTCCAATCAATGTGTGAGTCTTTCCGGTTCCGGGCGGGCCCTGAATGAGCAGCAGTTTGGGCACAGCGTACGGACGGTTCAGTATTTCATTGCAGCCGCGAATGGCTTTGTTTTGAGACTCATTAAAGTTGACGGATTCGGTGGCGACGTTCGTGGGAACCACTACTTGACACGTGAAGGAACGGGGTTTCAGAATGTCTTTGAAGAGCGGACACGTGTTAAGACCCGAAATCAATTCAATTTGTCTCATCGTTGGCTTCAAATAGTATATCCCCTGAACACCAATCGGTTCACTCGTAAGGATTCTTAAGGGTTTCCTAGCGATCAGAACAGTGTATTTGAGAAGCAATTGTCCGGAAGTGACGGGTCCGACAACCAGTCCCGGCACTACCGGTGTGCTCGCAGTTATGTTTTCCATATTATACTCAGTTATATATCCAAAGAGTCTAACTTTTCGTGGCTCACCGTTAGACGAATCAATTGTCAAATCAACTAAAACCAGATAACCCTCATTGGGATAACAATAGTTCTTGAGTTTATTCTTATGGATCACTGATTGGAAGCAAATGGTAATGAAATATTCGTCTGAAGAATATTCTGGAGCGAGAACTGCTTTGAATGGTTGCGTGTGTTTGCATTTGTTGTAGTCTTCAAAAATCTGAGCCCAAGTCTCGAACAGAATGAGAGGAATATATGCCGATTGGTATTCATCTAAAGAGTCATAACATGTCTTAACACCGATTCCTTCACCATAAGGGCTGAGAGGAGGCGGCACCTCATTGGACACACACTCTAACAACCATTTGGTATTCCAGTCCAATATAACGGCCAGAATGTGGTTATGACTGTATTTACTATCAGAATATATGTCTTCATTCAAAGTCATGGACTTGCGGTGAAGGTCTCTAAGGGGTGGTATGTTCTGCACCGGCGCTCTCATGACTGGCACTTCCGGTGAGTATACGGTCGGAGAGAATGCTTTACCAAACATTCGGTCACTCTTTACACGATTTAAATCACTTTTATTGTTGTTATTATTGACACACTTCTGGTGATTGTCTCGTTTCCGCTCCAGAACTTCTGCCAACGAATACTCGCTTTCCTTCAATTCATTGCCCTTTTGTTTCTTATTCTTAGCCATCAATGCACTCCTCGTGCTCTTCATGTCCTGTCTATCATTCTTCGAGTCCTTTAAGACAACCAAATCGTGTACGTCTTCATCCATTTCATCTAATTCTCTCTTATTATCAGTCTTTGAGGTCTCTTTGGGTTTGTCTTTACTGTTAGAAGAGGTCATAATGGCATTGAAGAGGCCTTCACTCCGATTGCTCTGCTTCTTGACGGCCACCGCAGGCCTACTCATCGGTCGCAACGAGTTCTTCGGCGCCAATGAATGGTTGGTGTCTTTGGCGTCTTCTTGTGTCAACTCATTGGTGTGTTTCGTGTGAGTGGCGATGCGATTGAGCCTATGGTTGGTATTCCAGTTCATATTGTCCAGACATGACAAGTAGTTGTAGTCGTCGTCCGAAGAGTCGTCCGATGACATCAAGTCTTCATACGGCAAGTGTCCACTCATTCTGAGGAGATGTCAATGGATTCAATGGGTTCAGTGATGGTGTATGTGTGTGGATGTGTGGATCAGTTGGTGTGACTCACATGTGTCCACTCAGTTGTCCTCAAATACGGTCTGATCTGTGGTTTCGTTGTTTCGTTGTTCAGTCATCCAAATATTGACAACACTTTGAATGCATTCAATGAATACGTCTCTCATATGAGTGATGCGTTCACTGAATGACGACGTCTTTTACTGCAACGCAACACCTCTTCAACCCAACCACTGGTCAACCCATCGACACATCCATTGAAATACCCTTTCATTTACATACAGTTAACACAAACTGACAAATAATTTAATTGATTATTGATTTAAAATTAAGTTTAATTGATTTAAGAGAAAATATTTTAATGACATTTACAACAATTTGATGACATTTTGTTTAACACAGAAATCATTAATATATCAAAAAAATTTTAATAAAATATATATTTAGTACTTTATTTAGATTTAAAAACTATTATAATAATTAAAACTTTCCAGCAATAAATTTATTGATTAAATTTTAATTATAATATTGGACAGATTTAAAACTTTATGTGAAGATAGGTATTGAATTGGAGTTTCCAATAGATTTGCTTATTCCGTATAAATGCCATAACTATTAAAAAATGATATTTAAAAAGAAATAATTATAAAAGTTTAGAAAAATATAAAAACTTGTGAAACACTAATAGGAGTTTGATTGAGCGGTTAGATTGTTGACACAGATCCATAGGCATGTTAGCATTTGGTGGCAGTTTTGCTACAATTAATAGATTGCTAACAAAGCAACTCTAATGTCAAATATGTTGCGGAACTGTTAGGAGGGCTTCATCGGCATCCCGATCCACACTACAGTTCTAGGGAAAGGAAAAGGCATTAAATTTGACAAACATCTCATCAGCATGATCTTCATTCATCATTAGTTTATTGCTTGTTATTAAGCTTTATACTGTAATATATCATTTTATTATTATTTATTTATTTATTAAATAGGATATCATTCTTACCGGAATTCAAACATCAAATGTGTTTATTTTTAAAATTTAAATAATATATTAGACTTGTGTCAATTGCAGTGAAAATGTTTATTAGTATATGAATACATTAATAGCATATAAATATAAGTTATTAATTATATTATTTGTTATTAGAATATTAGCAAATATTTGTATTAGTAAAGTTCCAGTACCATTATAAATTATTTATATTTTTAATGGAGTTTTTAAGGGTTTGTAGAATAATCATAAAATTAATGATAAGTTGAAACAAATAACTCCATTCTGGTTTTACCAGTTAAATTTTTATACCCAGATTAATAAAATAATTAAATGAATGTTGGTAAAATTATTTAATCATATTATAAGTCAAAATGGGTTATTGTCGAAAAACGTTTAAGAAAACTCTGAGGTTTGATTTTATCATTCAATAGAAATATTAAATATAAATTTGATTTAATAAACAATAACATTATACTATATTATAATTATTTGCATTATCATAGTTAACGATACCTAATATTAAAGCTGGGTGTGTTACAGTATTGATATTAATATACTGTATGACTTATAATTTATAAGTTATAAAACTGTAGCTATTCTCAGCTACACTAGCTTCGTTAAACTTAATAAACACTTTATTTAAAATAATTTGCACTACATTTCCAAACCTTGAATTTTATTTATATATTCATATTTATGTTGAAAATTTAAAAAATTCTTAAATTTTTAATTTAATAAATTTTAAGTAAAACCTATTTTTATTTATTAAATAAAAGTATAAAACACTGAGTAGAGTGAAATATAAAAATTCTACCAATTATACAGTAAAAGAGTATAAAAAATATTTATCAAGCGTATAAATATTATACATAATGATTAATAATCCATAAATAGATTAGTTTTATAGCTGTTAAAAGACAACGGCTAGTAGTTGTAAATATTATATTTAAAAATCGCATTCAATATCTTCTCTAAGGATAAGGTCTTTAAAGGAAGTTCTGGTGAATCGAGTCCTCAAAGGTTTACCACAAATGTATTGTGAGTTTCGATCATTAGTGCGGATCGTGTTATAGCATTGCGAAAAGTTATCGCTATAGGAGTTACGATAGGTCTTTGATATAACCTGTGAAGACATCATATTTTATCCATTAGACTAACCATGGTTGCCATTCATATGCAGTCATTAATGGTTTTCAAGACACACATTTCAAATTAAAGGTTTCAAAAAAGGAAGTGCAGTGCAAATGTACAGTATATTAACATATTTAATGCAAATTAAATAAAATTGTTAGAAATAAAAAACAAGCGAAAAACCATAGTTTAAATTAGTTATGAAAAAAACCATAAAAAGAATAGATATGTTAAAACAAAAACATCAACAAAATAAAACATTGGATTAGTTGGATTAGTTATAAAGTGCTGCAAACAATAGTGTTCTTATGATTGAAGAGGTTTTGGACAGATATTGTCATTTGTGTCGAGTCTTACCAGAGGTTTCTCGCGATGAGTGTTGACGGCTTCAATAGGAATGTTGATCTCATCGACCTGACAGCCATATGCCACTGGAGTCAATTTAATAATGGTATGCAGGGGCACTTTTAAATACGGTAGGAAGTCTGAAAAGATTAACATGTCATCACTTTCTGTACTTTTATTGCCGAGACACTCAACACAATAAGTTCGAGTCATTCAATCTTTATATTCAATAGATTTATATTAATATTAATTCTTAAGACATATCATAGACATTTCTGTATAATAATTAACAAAACAATTATTTGATAGTTGAAAGAAAGAACTGAAAAACATATAAATAGTGAATGTGATTAACATTACATAAATTGGGCCCAAAATAAAGAATTAGATAACATTTTGAGAGAATTTATGAACCAAAACAAAACAAAATAATAAGACATTAAGTATTAGGTGTGACATAATAGTGATACATCGGTGCCCTATAAGAGCTTGTGGTCGTCAACGGCCGCGATGGGCACTATTATCTCCTCGAGTTGACAGCCGTATGCCAGCGGCGTTAACTTGATTATTGTATGCAGGGGCACTTTTATAAACGGCATATCCGCTACGGATAGAGAGAGACAAACGTTTTGGCCATAGCTTCAGGTTGTGTACAACAGAGCACAACATTGACATACAGATCATTACTGATCACTACACTATCTATATGCACACAAATCACTCGTTCACTCCAAACAGTCTCACCTGAGCTCTTGTCCAAGAAGTAAGCGAGTAGGCATCGCAACACAGCTTGATGGCCGACCACCAGAACATTTTCCTGGCGCTCCAGTTCCATGATTACGGGCTCGAGTCGGGCCACTAAGTCCTCGTATGACTGCAACCCAACAAACAATTAGTGCCCAATCAATGTCATAGTGTGACGCTATATACTGTACCTCTCCCTTTGGGTACCGGTAGTGAAACTTGTCCTGATCTCTCAATGCAAACTCATCCGGATATTTAGTTTGAATCTCTTCGTAAGTCATTTCCTCGCAGATTCCGGCGTCGATCTCATTCAAGGCCTTCCATCTCTCTTGTGGTGCTTTAATCGCCTCAGAAGTCTGTGCTGTTCTCTGAAGCTGTGACGTCCAGACTCGAAGACGAGGAATATTCTGTTCAGATATATATTTTGCCAAAGCTTTCGAGTACTCCCACCCCCTCTCAGAGAGCTCCGCGTCTCCGCCTATCCTTCCGAGTAAGTTATAGACACTCTCTCCGTGACGGGTCAGGTATATGGAGCGCGGAATTATGTGTATATTCATCAGATAATAGACAACTCGACTTTGAATGTGTCCCTCGTGTCTGTGGACCACCACCTTTTCGCCGGCGTTATATATCTTCATGAATGAGAAATCCTTCTCCCGGTCCTCATCCAGGGGTTCATAAGCCAGTTGGTAGTGTTCAATGCGCTGCACAAAGTCTTTCAGTGCATCTTCATTACTGACATCCCGATAGTCCGGACTGTGAACCTTCACCTCCTTTTGTAGACAAATACAAATAATTAGTGAACATTGGGCACAAGTACGGTATATAAAGTTATTTGTAGGCCTAACCCTAATATTAGCGTCAATAATGTTAGGGTCGTTGCAAAAGGATTCGACAAAAAACAGTTTGTATCCATATTTGTTGACAACCGTATCGTAAATGAGTTGTCTTCTGTCAAATGTAGTGTTTGTCGCGTCATATACGGCCACTTCGCCCGTCCCCTCCTCGAGCCACGAGCACATGTCGTCCAGTGCGTCGATCGCGCACTTACTGCGTGTTTATAAGTAGTTTCAATTAATTCATTAAAAATAGTTTTTCAAAACTTATGACATGAATATAAAAATAAATTGGAGGTCAGAATGTAGTGGATGTGCAGAGAATGGGTTGGAAGGGTTGGAAGGGCTGGAAGTGTTCCAAACGAGACTCACTTTCTAATGACGAGCGCATCCTTATTGTCGGGCCTAAAGAAGTCGTGATTGCGATAGAGTTTAGTCGCCTGTCGTCTGTACTCTCCGACATTGAAGACCCTGGTGTTGATTCCGATCCAATTGAGATAACGGGTCAACTTCTTAGCGATGTATGTCTTGCCTCTGGCCGGCAGTCCAACCATTGCGATCACATGAGGGATGTTGACGTACGCTGTCGTGCGATCGCCTGTCAAACAATTAATTCATTAATCAAACCATTAATACATTCAAAAAGTGCGACAAAACAACCTCTAATCGGGAAGGGCTTCGCGCCGTTATTCTGAGATATCTTTCTGTTGGGAACCACTTCTTTAGTCATTTTAAAGGATTTCCAAATCAAATCAATTAGATTTTTGTTTTGACTTTTGATTTAAATACAAATTATTATCACAACAAAATGTTTATTTAGAGTTTATTCAAACCAAAACTTTGGAAATATTTAGTAATTATTGCAAATAAATACAAAAATAAAAGTGATTTTCCACACACTCTTCACTATCTTATCGGTTGATCTGATGAGTGAACTTCAAGACTAGGAGTCAATAGATTTAATAGCAGACACAAACCAAATAAGAACTAATGAAACAATAATCCAAATTCAATTCAATTACATTCACTTCAATGTATATGAAGTGAGAATCAATGACTCGACACAAGAGAGAGGATGTCCTTCAAGTGCTTCACTGAACACTTTAACAACCAGGAGGTATGTGTCCGCACATGTATCCCAATTAACGTCAATTAAATAATTGTGCAGTTCTTTACCGTTTCGTACACTTCTTTAAACTTTTATGAAACAATTATAACAAAAGTCAAATAATGCTTTTATCTGTGAATATAACGACTGATAACTGCAATAAGACTAAATAACTGTGAATCGAGATTATAACTAAACTCATGAAACGCTTCCAAAGTATCATACACTCAATTCATGTGAACCCTTGGAGTTTATTTAGAGTTTATTCAAACCAAAACTTTGGAAATATTTAGTAATTATTGCAAATAAATACAAAAATAAAAGTGATTTTCCACACACTCTTCACTATCTTATCGGTTGATCTGATGAGTGAACTGCAAGACTAGGTGTCAATAGATTCAATAGCAGACACAAACAAAATATGACTACAGTATAGGAACTAATGAAACAATAATCCAAATTCAATTCAATTACATTCACTTCAATGTATATGAAGTGAGAATCAATGACTCGACACAAGAGAGAGAGAGAGGATGTCCTTCAAGTGCTTCACTGAACACTTTAACAATCAGGAGGTATGTGTCCGCACATGTATCCCAATTAACGTCAATTAAATAATTGTGCAGTTCTTTACCATTTCGTACACTTCTTTAAACTTTTATGAAACAATTATAACAAAAGTCAAACAATGCTTTTATCTGTGAATATAACGACTGATAACTGCAATAAGACTAAATAACTGTGAATCGAGATTATAACTAAACTCATGAAACGCTTCCAAAGTATCATACACTCAATTCATGTGAACCCTTGGAGGATCCTTGGACTTTGAATGTCAAGAGTATACTGTATGTGAAATGGTTTACAAACTAATAATGGGAATGGGATGCGTACTATTAGCTGACAATTAAGGAGTGACACTACTGTATACAGGTTGACAATATTACATGATTACATGGGTTATACCGGTTCTTATGGTTAGACTTATTCCTAATGACTGAATAGACGACATTATAGAGAGCGCATGACATCAGTCGACATACACTTCGCAGACCTTTCTCCATACAAATTCATCAAAAACCATGAGATTTTTGTATGGATTCTGTGATTTAGTTAATTTACAAACATTTTATATAATTAAATAGTTGTTATAAACTATAATTGTTACTTAGATTTCATAAAATTAATTAATAAAAAGTTTAGATAGAGTGAGTGCTTTAGAATCTAAAGTTTCGATGAATGACCGTATGGAGGGGTCATTGTATGCATTGTGAGGCTACTGATTCTTATAAGTTATAAGTTGTCTTATACTCACGATAATAAGACATATTCATACAGTAAATGGTCTAGGAATGTAAAATTACTTAATCTAATACTTATTTAAAGATATATTCTTTATGTTTTTATATTAACATACTTTTTAAATATTATGATATAATAAGTACACACAATATTGTAATTAAATAATATATTTAAAATATCTTATTGATAGTGTGATAAACCCAGTATACTAATGTAGAGATACATTTATTGAATGGTCTAAAATGTTGTCATTTAATTGGCATTTGCTGTGAACAGGAAGTTTACCAAAACAGTAATGTAATCAGTTGATCAATGGAGTATCCACTGCTATTCAAGAATCCAATTTAATTTACAATTAAAGAAAGTACACTACAGTTACTGCAGTACACTACAAATTTGTATTAGCCAATAAAATGCCTTCAAGACGTAATATAATACACGTCGAGATGCTTATAATGAGGTCTGTGTGTAAGCAAAACAGACAGAGCGTATTTGAACTCACATTTGGACAACTTATATAAGTCTTATAATATAGGCAGTATAATATACAAATTCTCCGACTATTCCTAAATTACTATGCAACATATTACTGTCGTAACTATACTAACGAAGTTATACTTATAATATTTAGGTATTTGAGAATATTTTTAGAAAGCTCTTTATATCATTTTTATTTGTTCATAAGTATACATTTAAAACCACAGTTACTGTACTGTGTTAACTTACTAAAATCTATCGTTTTGGAGTATCTACCGTACTAACGTATATCATATCTAAATACAGTATAGCTAAATAAAAGAGTATTTTACATTAAAGTATTACAGTATTAATAAATATTAATTTTATAATAGATGTCTAAAAATTATTTTTATTATAAATATTGTGCATAGTACTGTAAATGTATTAAATGTTTATTTTAACTGTTTAGTATATTTTTAACTAAATGTTTAGTAAATCTTTAGATATTACTCTATTTAATAAGAATAAATCAATTAACAGTAAGAAAATTTAGGAAATAAAAGTAAGGAAACTGAAATACAATATATAATATAAAACATATAAGTATAGATAAGGGGTGAAAGTTAACACGATAAAAGTTTATTTTTATTACCTAAAACAAATTACATAATAAAAATTATTAGTACGTAAAAACTGACTAAAATTGTAATACTAATGAGATAGATTTCTCATAGAATTACAGTCATACCCAATGTTTTAGCAATATATAATTAACAATTATTACAATACTAATTTTAAAATATAATTTTGTTTTGGATTTGGTTTTATGTATTTATGAATTGCAAGTTTTTTGATAACACTGGATTGACATACTGTATATTCCGTTATTTAAATAAAAATAAAATCTTCAAAATCTTTGATGTTTAAGTGAATTTTTATATTACAGTTAATACAGTATTACCAAACAGTAAGGGAGTGAATTTTTGATATTTTACGAAAGCATTTGTTTCATAGTAGGTTCAAAATGAAATGTTAATTGAATTCAGCAAAGGATTTAATATCTCTCCAAAAATAAAATTTTTAAGATTCAATTGTAATAAAATATATAAGGAATCAATGACTCAAAAATATAAAGAACTAAAATAAAGTTTTTTATTTGCGACACAACTGTCCCTTTTGAACGGTGAACCCAACCCCACGCCCTTTAGATGAAGAGTAGGGATTGAAATGGGGCTCAAGTAATAAGAAAAGAATATATATGTGGAGAGAGTAGAGTAGACCTGAGCTGCAAACCAGTGATTTGCTCACAACTAACTCAAAGAAATGCTGCTCTCAATGCCCGTTATGTCACATAAATGCTATTTTCCCAGGCCTTCAATGAGACACTGGAGAGAGAGAGAGAGAGAGAGAGAGAGACTGGTAAGAGCTCGACATGAGCAGAGGTCAAGGTAGCAGTTCGTGCAGTACTGGCACTGGCAGTGCAGTGTTGGCAATGGTTTGGTGCATCGGTATTGTCGGGTGACTCTCATCACTGATGATTCCCATGCATTGCTTGCATTGCATTAAAATGTATACCAAATGAATGGGAAGAGAGAGGAGAAGAGGAGCTGACGAGAGGAGAGAAGATGTGATGCAAACGCATGCGTTGACACTGCAGTCCATGAGACACAGCACTGAGAAGCGATTGCATTGACTCCAAACGCTATGACATAAACCCAGTGACTGTATGGATGTCCACACAGACCTCATACCAGTCCTAACCTCGTGTTCTAATCTATAGTGTATTTGGTGTGACAGTAGAGTGTAATTAGTGTGGAATGCATTGAATGGATGGAGTAGTGATGAGTGCGAGTGATGGTGTGGATGAGCCACTGGATGAGACACTGGATGCAAACACTTTCACCTTTTGATTGTTGCTCAGAAGGCGTCGACGAGTGAATCGCCGCTGGGCTGCTATCAAATGCTGAGAGATGTCCACTAATTCATCGATTCATACATCCATACAGCCATCCATCCAAACAACCATACATTCACTCCATTCTCATACTCTCCATACTATCTCTTATTCTTGTCGTGCGTTTCTTTCTACTAATTATTTTGTTTGAGTTTATAATAATGTAATTGTATTGCAATATTTAATAATTAAATAGTGATATAACTAGCAATTCATACAGTATGTACAGGATTAATAATTTAATAATAATTAAGTATATATTTTGTGATTTAAGTCAAAGAATTGCAGTATGCATTGCATCAAATATTAGTCTTATATTTTTATAATGTGTTTAAGTATTATTAATAATATAAGTTGTTTGGTTCACATCATTAAGAATGTGAAGAATCATTGCATAAATCACATAATGATTGGATCACTGGATCACTGAATCATTGGACTGATTCTCAATCTGATGGCGAATACAGTGGAGTGAAAGGTAGGCATGAATTGAAAACCAGTTCATAAGCAGCATATCGTTGGATGCATTGCTATCAATATATTGAGTGTATGACTGTATGTATGCATGAGTTGGGTATGAGTGCTGTGACCGTCCATCATATAAGTGCTATTGAAAGAGACAGTTCCTTTCAACTTTTCACCACCGATTCCTACCTGTGCTCCTGTGCTGCTATTACTAAGTGAGTAGAGAGTAGAGCTACAGAAGCTGTGCCATAGCTGTAGTGGTGCTGTGCTTTAGGGGCGTCTTAACAGAATGAAAGATGATTTCTTGGGCGCACCCGACGACCCATGCATTGGATTGTTTGATGGCATCAAAAGAATCGCTATTTCTTACTATAGTTTAGATTTGCTTTTTATGATCGCATTCGAGAACTTATATAACAAGTTATGCGACCCAACAATAGCAAGCATAACAGCCCAGACCTAACAGAATAGGGGAGAGAGAGAGAGAGAGAGCAAAGATATAGCGGTACTTTTGGGCACTTTTGTCATACAATTCCCACGATATCATTGCAAGGCTATAGTGAGAGCAACACTCACAGCAACTGTGAATCATTTGACTGCATTGGAGGGATCAGATGGGATCGGGATCTTCAATGTGAGACCTGTTCTCATTCAATCCATGTATTATTGCATTTCCATGACATTCACTTCACTCTAAGTGTATTGCAATGCCTGAGCCATGTCTTGCAATCACAGTATTGCCCGCAACGCTAATCAGTTACTAAAAGCGGACAAAAATGTAAAAACATTTTCAGGAAACACAGGGCAACGAACTCAACACCATCTCTCTCTCTCTCTCTCTCTCTCTCTCTCTCTCTCCACTATTCATCCAAAAGTGAGATTTGAGACCATTTTTTAGTTTTTGAGAAAAACTCAATGAACTTAATGCCGGACTAAAAGTGATTAGTTTTATGCGACACTAACTGGCAGTCACTCAAAGGTGTGCTCACTCTTCACCAATAGTCCATTATTTGCACCCAAATTAGAGTTAACATTATTGTAGGCCGTACTGTATGCTACTCCTAGTAGGAATTTCCTACTGGTTTAGTAGGTTGTATTCATATAACCCTTTCATTCATACGAATAACAGAATTTAATATATTCTACTGTATTATTAATAATAAGTTATTAATATAATTCATGTATATTGATATACGGTATAACATTTAAGTCAATTTTAATATATTTGTAATTGATCAGGCTATTCTAAACGATTTGTATGTTGCAATTAGAGTTAATAATATAAAGACGAGAATGTTAAATATTAGATTAGGAATAATGTAGAGAATACTCACCACTTTTGAGTTCCATAACTTGTGTCCTCGCTGTTCACACCTTAACTAACCATAGAAAATGGTAAGACAAGTGCCATGAGAATTATCATAAGAAATATAATATAACATATCAATGACAACAACATATCATACATACGATATTAACGTAAAATACCTTAATATTGTGAAAACAATTGAAAGTTAGATAAATTGTGAGAAAGTTGTGGTGACGCTTAATGTCAAAAACATATAATATAGCACTAAATGCTTAGATTTAGTGATAATAAAAGTGAAATACACGTCAAACTGGTTGTAATTCAACATAAACGACACCTTTACAGAAGATAAGTGCTAAAGAGTTGTCATATTTACCACTTCCAACATAAATATAATATTTGTGACATTCAGTATAGGAAAATAAATATAAAATGACCACAATGTAATTTTATTAATAAATAAATTAATTGTATATATATTTGAGTTCTTTATACAATGAGTCTGAAATGAGAATTTATAGTTAAAAATATTAGATATTTCCATAACTGCAAAGCAATTACAATAATATATGTGTATTTACAACACAATTAATGTATATCAAGTATATAAATTAAATTTAACACAATATTTGTATATATTTATATTATATAATATATCACTAATTTAAGTCAATGCCATCACCAATAAATTGTGCAAAAATAAGACATCGTTGAGAATCATAAAATATTTATAAAATTGGTAACAAATTAAAGTCGTGTGGAATGTATAACTGATTGAAATGTATTTTTGTACATAAAATTTCATGTTTGAGAAATCATAAAAATAACAGTGAGTTAAAAGTCGAAATCAAGAGAATTAGAAGTGAATGCATTGATTGGATCCAACTTCAGACATAGCTTTCCTATCAATAATACAATCAAATAATAATACAAAAGTGTTTTGTTATGTAAATAAAGTGAATGAGAGAGCGAGAGAAGAGAGGAGAGCTGTGTTTTGAGACTCACTCGGAGTCTGAGGTGGAGTTCATAGGGACGAGTGGTGTCGGAGCGGCACTATTGACAGCTGCCTCCGCATCAACAGAACGAATGATCGATTGTTGTGGCAGTGATTGTGTCACGTCTTCCTGAATCGGTTCCATCTCTTTGCTGGAGTCGAGAGTCGGTGTGTTGTTGTGGTCGTTGACCTCCCTTTCACTGATCAGTATTTCACTAATACTGTCGGCCTTAGAGTGACTGTTATTCTCATATTTAATATTAAGATTTAAGTCTTCACTGAAATTCATATTTTCTTCGAAATGAGTATTTTTAGTAAAGGATTCGCTTTTGCGTGAACTCGGGCTCAAAGTATTGATAGCTTGCGATGAAGTGTTTAATGCGTTTAACTCACTGTTTGTCATGTTTTGATGAGTAGCCAACGAATCTGCTGATAGGCCGGCAGTCATGGCCAGTATGTTAGACCTGGAGTAAGGTCTGCTGCTTAAGAAAGGACCGCATTCTGTAATGGGAGACGTTTGTGATGGCGATTGCAATGGCACTGAATGTGAGGGCATATGCGACCACTTCAGGTGCACATGTTGTGCATCTGACCCATGCATTGGACGTGAGAATAGGGATGGGTTGACAGTATTGTCGCTAAATATATTATGATTCTGTTGGATCTCAGCATTGATTCGGTTCTGTTTTGGGGCACAACTATTGTCGTCTTCATCTGATGAATGACTTGACGCCAGATCTAGTGATCGATCAAACGAGACATCGCTGTCAGACTCCGAGTGCTCTGCATTGAGCGCATGTCGTCTTTTATGTCTACCGGGATTACAACCAAATTTAAAGCCGTTTGCTTTAGTGAGCCATACAAGAGATCATACCTGAAAGCATTGGTCGATGACTTGGTGACAGTGGAGCGGCTGGTCGTAGAAGAGGCACAGATTGTCATATTTCGGTGCAAAACATCGAAAGACGAGTTATGGAAAGTAGGCGCCGATCGAGAGGCCACTGAAGTTCTCGTTCCGCTTAAGCTGTCGTCGATGTAAACTCCTTTTTGGCCGCGAAGTCGAGCCCAAAGAACTCGAATATTATGTCGCACTCTATGGTTGATTAGACAATAGCCGACGAATATATAGACGGAACTGATTAGAGACATAAGTGAGAAGCCGTAGTGAAGCTCTTCGAGAGAGTCGTTGACCGAAAGGAGAGCCAGAATCCAAACCGAGCCGAGGAGTGGCAACAAAATGATACTCAACCACAACAGTGTCCGCAGATTTCCATAATCACTGACAGTCTCTTTGATTTGGACACTGGCCTGGAGTGCCAACAAGAAGACCACTAGATTTACCTATAGTTAAACAAATTGTCAGGGTTTGTCAAATGAACTGTTAGCAAGTACAGTATTGACTACCGTACTGGTAGTAACGGTAACAATTCAGATCATACGTACAATAATAGCTATACAAATGGGTGCCACTAAACTCCAGACAACACTTTCGTATATTGAAAGCCAACAACTTAATAAGTAAAAATAAACAATGCAATTATTTTACAGTAGTTCAATAGTTTGGCACAACAATGTAATTGAATGAACTTACAATAGGTAATTGCCGTACTGGTCAGCCCTCACACCAACTGTAAGGCCAACAATGATTGCTGGGACCACATATCCAATAAAGTAGTAGAACCTCATGGGTCCGTGGTTTATGTCTCGGATTTCAGTGAGCATTCGGTAGAGATGTATACTTTGGACACAACTCCATGAGAAGAGACACATAAACAGATATTGCAAACTAATTGCAGTCATTTTGCAACCAAACTTGAGTTCAATAAAAACAATATACGGTATTAATGATTAGAGAATACGGTACCATATATGATAATAGTTTAATGAATCAATTATATAAACCTCTTTTTGGACTAAAGTGGACCGACTCCTTAAGGCGATTAAAAATATGAGTTCGGCTAACAATAAACATAAGACTAAATGTCTATGAATTGAATTGCTATTCGTTTCAATGCCTCGGATGGCTGTCAACACGAATAAAGTGATGGCCAGTAATATCAATGAAATAATTGATCCAAAATAGGAAACCATGATTTGGGCCAATGATTCGCTCACGAAATACTATTTTAAAAGTAATTATCATAAATACGACACATCATTATAAACAGACACAAAATTACATCATTAGAGCTGATGTCCATAAGAACAGCGACACCAATGGCTCGATCGCACGAACAGTTAACGTAATCGTAAGACAGTCTGTATTTATTGGTCGGATGAAAGCCTTTTACTTCACAGCCTTTGGAAGACCATCGGCCGCGAGTCGGACCTGAAGATGATTTGGAGCGCGAGTTGGGGTTGGAGTTGAAGGCCCAGTACGCGCATTGAGGACCACTCCGACCGTTACGATCCAGTGTTCGCAATCTGAAGTGCAGTTTGGGTTGAATTGACTTATTGAGGAATTTGGTGCCATTCACAGGCTTTAGGGTCAATACGAATATTGGAGAATTGGCTCCAATTGGTTGACCGAATCGGTGTCTAATATAATAAAATAATTGTTATTTATTTAAAACTTAATTATATTCTCAACAAACAGTTACCGAACACTTGAGTCGACAATTGGGGGTAAAATTTGGCCTAAAGAGGGGAATATTGCGTAACCAATGATAGCATTGTCCGACTTTTTCTGTCTATCAAAAGATGCATTCATAGGATTGGAAGCAATGTCTTCAATAGTCTTTACGGCTAACGTCTTAAGAGGAACAAAAGCTTTGGTGATGTCATCAATGTTTTGCTTTCTTATGGGAAAGTTATTATATTTAGGTATTGAAACCGAAGGACTCGAATCTAAAGGCAAACTCATGTCAACATAAATGGATGGCACAGATGATTGGATTAAAGAACTTCTGTTGACATAAGAATGCAGCGATTTAGGCATATCCCACAACTGGTCACTCGATACGGTGTCCAACCCTAATGTCATCCATTTGGCTGAGACCTCAAAAGGGTCCGTAAAAGTGTCCATTTGATTGTCTATCAACACTTCCAAATAGCTATTGAATAGTTTAAGCAAATACTCGGCTCCCCTTTCCTTCTCGGAAATCCTCTCCCAATGGGACGCATATCTGGGCTCTAATAGAGATGAAGTCGATTCGACCAGATTTCGGATGAAATGTCTGTCCTGTTTATGAGTCAAATTTAGTCCTTTTTGCTTCAACTCGTTATTTATAACATGTCTTATTAAACGATATGCAATCAATATATCGGTGCCATAGAGAGTGTCGGTGCTATTGATTGCGTTCTTTAAATCGTAAGAGATTTTGATGGAAAGGTAAGAAGTGATGAGGAATTCGTTTCTCTCGAGTAAAACAGACTGTTCTGACAATTCAATGAATGCATTGGAGGTACAGTCGAAGAGGTCTGCAGTGATCCATCCATTGGTTTCCGAACACTGGCGCACAGCTTTCCCCACAGAACCGGTTGGACACGACTACAGTATTTAAACATAATTATAAAACAATTACCGTAACTGAAAGATTTGATAAATTTAAATGAATACATTACTGCACTTATAAATGAGTAATGCGTTTAAACCATACCTGTATGGCCTGTCCATTAAAGAGGGTGCGATCCCACCAGATCTGGTCGCTGAAAGCTCGGGGACAGCCCTCGTAAATGACTTCACAGCCTCTGAGAGTAACCTCAGCGAAAGGACTGGGACACGAGTCGCAACGCCTACCGATAACGCCGGGCCTGCACTTGCATTGACCGCTCACAGGGTCGCAGCGACTCATATAAGAACCGGTCGAATAGCAGTCGCATTTGAAGCACACGTCGCTGTTGAGGGGCTGGAAATGGTTGGCTTCGCACTGACACTCGCCACTCGTCTTATTGCAGTTTCCGTCGTAACCTTTAGTTGTGTCACAATTACAGGGACCACATATGGGATATCCCCACCAATTGGACGGACATGTCTTCGGCAATTTGTCTTCGCAATAGACTCCAGTGTGGTGTTGATCGCACTGACACTTATATCCACGGGTGTTATTCCATAGCAAACATGTCGATCCAAAATCACATGGATTTAAGTCACAGATAGGAATACAAAGATCGCCCGCAAAACCAGTGTTACATTTGCATTCATATTCGGAAAAGGCTTTAACAATACATTTACTATTGAGAGGACACGGATTGGAGAGACAGGCGTTGCTTTCAAAACAGCCCTCTTCTACATTGTTCTGATGGGAAGGTCTGAGCCACGAATCCTTACTATTTCCTATATCTAAGCCTTGAATGCAACCGACAAATGCATCAACACTTCCGTCATTCAAGTGCTCATTGGGTTCAAGTCCTCCGACCGTTACTTTTGCGATATACAGTCCATTGATATCTGACTCGAAATCTTTGAATCGAATGTATTGACCAAAATCAAGATTTAGTTTGACTCCAGAGGTCATCCAATGAGCTTCCATTTGATGCCATTTTCCATCGTTGACAACAGCGTCAGCAATGGTTAGATTTTGAGAATTATATGTGTATTTAATAATCCGGTTGTGTATCTCAATAGTGACGACACTGTTGTGACCCAATTGTAGCCTTAAGAGCAAACCATTTGGCGAAACTGTCTTAAACTGAAAGCTGAGAATCCACGGGAGGTTCAGAGGACGCAAACGTGGAGTGAATGATAAAAAGCCGTCGCCTTTGAATTGTTTGACCACTTCATTGGAGTGACTGCAGTCTTGGCCGCTGTATGTGTTGACACAGTCGCAGACATAAGATCCCCAACGCTCTCGACAAATGCCTCCATTAAGACACGGCTGCGAGTGACAGAACCGGTGTTTTTCAGCACAACCAGAAATGGATCCATTGTTAGCCACGTATGAATTTAGGTCAACCATTTGATGGTCAATATATAGTTGAGTAATACATCCGACAAAGTCTTTATTAGTAGTTTGGAAGCGAGTGGGAAGTGGTGGAAGTCCTCCAATCTGTAGCGGACCCGTCAGGTCCAGGAATCGATAGCAGGTCTGCATTTTGTCGGCACAACGAGGCTCTAAATCAAGGACTGTTGTATTGGCGCAGACATACTTTGATGGCAACTGATTCCTGTGAACAGCTTTAAGCAATGCTTCGTCGCAATCGTCCAGTTTGATGGCCGCCGTTCTGTTCAAGTAATTCACTTCTATTTGATGCCATTTGCCATCATTTATGACACCTTCTGATGATTGCACCGACACTTGACTAATGTTGGCGCCCACAGAGAAACTGAATACCACTTTTGAGTCAATGATTTCGAGAGCAATGAAGTCGTGCTTCTCGTTGTATCGGCCGTTATATAATAGGAGAGCGTTTGAGAGTCGGGTCGCGAACTTCAAGCGAATGTTGAGTCGATGGCGTTGTCGTAACGACGAGAATGTCAAATATGAGCCTTTAGTGAACGAACGAGTCTTGAGTTCACATAAAGGAGTGCTCCACTCCTCCAGAGAACAGTTGAGGCACTGAAAGCTACTGATTCCGAGCGTTGCCTTTATCTTCATACTTCTGGAGTTAACGCAATGGGAATCACTTTTGCATAAACCACTCCTGCAGTGGTCTAAAACAAAGTTAATTTCACAGTTCTTGCCGGCGTAGCCATCATTACACAGACAGACATAACTTCCTTCTTGATGGACACAAACGCCTCCATTAAGACAGGGCGACGAAAAGCATAGGTTTATCTCAGTATCGCATTCGTATTTGTGGTGCATTCCTAATAAATTGCATTGCATTGGATAGCATTTTGTAAATAATTAATACATTTAAGTTACAGTACAATATACGGTAAATATATTTCACATAAAATGCATTTGTATCTAAATCCAAACTCCGATAATTTATATCTATATTCATAATATACTTATGGTATTACTGGAAATGCCCATATAATTTGGTAGTATTTAAAATAAATATGAGATATTCCCGGTATTACCGTATAAAACCAAATGAATACAGAAGTGAACATACCCTGGAAGCCTTTAGGGCACCGGCAGGCAAATGTATTGACCGGATTTATAGAACGAAATAGTATTGAATCCGTGGAAACAAAATCAGATGCGTTACCAAACTTGAGAACTGAGAGACACTCTTCATAGTTAAGACATGGCTCGCGAACACATAAATTATCATCAAATGGTAAAACCTGTAAAATAAAGAGACATTTACTACACAAAAAAATTACTGTAAATATGCGAACTGTACCTCAAGTCCAGTCAATTTGGTGAGAATGGCTCGACTCAAGTATACCCTTTCCTGAAGGAATTGCGGCGAATAATACGATTCTGAATCTCTATAGTCTGGCAGACGAGCCGAGAAACTAATGTTGAGAATCTGTGAATCAACTTCAGTGTCATCCTATAGACCATTCATAATCTTTAGTTTTAAGTCCTTCTCTCCAATCAAAGTCATAAATACCTGAGTATTGAAAATAACAACATTTTCTTTGGGAGAGGGAATGATTGCAGACAACCCTTCCAGGAAGCGATCGAATAGAGATGAAAGGAATGTCTTCTGAGATATTTTATTTAAACGAATGGTAACGCTATTGAAGAGCATTGCTTCGGTCACCAGATTGACAACGAGATGACATGTGGCCGTCGCCTCGTTTATGCCGTCCGACACACTCACGCCGAACAGCGCCCTCATCGGCACATTTGTGTTCAAACTGGGACTCAGTTTGATGTGACCATTGGTCTCATTCACTATCAATAGATTGGCATTATTTCCCCAAACAAACCTATACTTTAGTCGGTCGGCAACATCCGCGTCAAACGCAGGTATGCGTCCAATCACGTGGTTGAGAGGGAAATGGTTTTTGTAATTATTGAATATTATAGAGAAGTCGCGAAGTAGTGGCGGGTGATCGTTGACATCTGGACAACAGGATAACATCATACATATTGGTTACATATTGGCACTGATATTATGGTTATATCCGATCAATACCTGAGACATGAATCTCAACGTCGACATCATTTCTTAGTGGCAGAGACGAGGCTCTAACGATAATGTTATACATCTTTTTAGGCGATTCATAATCCATATCAACACCAGAGATGAGTTCGGCACCATTCTCTGCGGGTCGAGATTTGAGAGTAAACGAAGTCATATCTGGTCCGCCGACTATTGAATATTCAATTTTGGCGTTCGAGCCCTCGTCCGGATCAATGGCATTGAGAGTTCCGACGGTCCAACCGATTGGGCTGTTCTCAGGCACATAGAAGCGAAGTATCATTGAGTCAAAACGGGGCGGATTATCATTGCCTTAAATTAGCAAAAAATGGGTCATTATTAGCAAATATAGTAAACATAATACAGTACAACATCGCGAGTGCTTACAATCCTCTATTATAACATTAATGATAACCGATGAGGACATAGAGGGTACGCCTCGATCGACACCCAATGCAATCAATTGATATTTGGATACAAATTCCCGGTCCAAAATTTTATTAGTTCTGATTATGCCAGATGTTGGGTCCATAACAAAAGTACCGGAGCCATCATTGCCGCCCGAGAATGTATACCTGAGCTGACCGTTCAAACCCAAGTCCCTATCGATGGCACTAATCTGCACAACACTACTGCCAATGGGCGCGTCTTCGGTGATAGACGTGGTGTACACCGACTGAACGAATTCGGGTGAGTTGTCGTTCACGTCTCCGATCTCTATCTCAACGTTCGTTATGTCCGCCAGAGGAGGGATCCCGTTGTCTAAAGCGGTCACTACTATAGTATAACCGGCCGTCTCTTCTCTATCCAAGCTTCTGGTGGTGACAATGGCTCCTGAGTTGGAGTCAATGCGGAACTCCTTCACGTCATCCATTTGGAAAGTGATGCGCGCGTTCTCTCCAACGTCGGCATCTGTGGCTTCGATGACCAGTACAGTGGTTCCGGAAGGCGTATCTTCAGGAATGCTTATGGCGTACGGAGTCTTCTCAATGACAGGTCTATGAGTATTAGCGTCGGTTACGTTAATATAAACGGTTGACGTATCAAACTTTCCGCCAGAATCAGTGGCAGTCACTGTCAACACAAACTTTTTCTCTGCCTTATAATCCAATGGTTGTGCGATGGATATCAATCCCTGTCCATTCTGAGTGATTATACTGAACCGACCCCTTGTATTGCCGTGAGAGATTTGGAAAATGATTCGCGAATTCTCGTCCCTATCGGTTGCGGTGACCGATATAATAGGGGAACCGATTGGATCCACTTCACTGACTGTAGTCTCATATATTTTGGGCGCAAAAACTGGTAGATTGTCGTTGAGATCTTGAACACGAATTATGACATTAGCGGTGGCGGACAGGGGTGGGGATCCATTATCCTGAGCAACCACTACGAACTCATAAAGACTGGCCTCTTCCCAGTCGAGCTCTCTGGTGGTGAGCACCCAACCCGTCTGGTTGTCGATCGCAATCGGCATTTCAGGAATGTTGGCGTTTCTGATCAGGTAAGTGATGGCAGAGTTGTTGCCGTCATCGGCGTCATAGGCCTGTACTCTGACTATATTGGAACCAATGGGTGAGTTCTCTAAGACGGTCTCCTGGAACAGACTCGTGTAGAACTTGGGTTCGTTGTCGTTCTTATCCAATACATTGATCAACAGTTGCGTTGTATTACTGCGCGGAGGACTGCCCGCGTCCTGTGCTCTCAACACCAGACGGTACGAGTGAGAGGTCTCGTAGTCCAACGGTGCGATTACACTCACTTCACCATTCAGTGAATCCATTTGAAACATCCCTTGAGTATTGCCTCCTATTATTGAATACCTGAGCGCAGAGTTGAGTCCTTCGTCGGAGTCGTGAGCACTGACTGTAGCGATGAGCGGATGATTCAAATAGTTTATGTCTTCAGGAATGTGCACCGAATACGAGCGCTCAGAGAATTGGGGGTAATTGTCGTTGTCGTCGAGCACTTTGATGGTGACCGCCGTTTGCGAATATCGACGCAAGTGAACGGCACCCGAGTCTGAGGCCTGCACTGTCAGTGTGTAGAAGTCAACGGACTCGCGATCCAGAGCTGCTCTGGTCGTGATTATACCCGAATGCGAGTCTATTTTAAAGGCCTCGTTAACGCCGGTAGGGTTCACTATACTGTATTCAATGTCAGAGTTTGGTCCGCTGTCAGCATCGGTAGCTCTAACGGTCACAACAGTGGTAGATATGGGCGAAGACTCTCGAATGTTGGCGTCATATGAGGCCAACTCGAAGACAGGCGAGTGATCGTTCTCATCGTTCACATTGATCTGCAGAGTGGTAGTCCCAGAACGCGCCGGTACTCCACTGTCCACAGCTGTAATTCATTCATCAATTACTCAAATGGGATCATTAAATACAATATAAATACTCTGGACTCACATGTGATCTTCAAGTAGTGAACGTCCATAAACTCTCGATCCAATCGGGCGGTTGTGGTGATTACTCCAGAAGTGGAATCAATAGAAAATATGCTCTGACTTCGGGCGTCCAAAACAGCACTCATTTGATACAACAAGTCGTTGGTCTCGCGATCGGTGGCACTCATTGTGGTCACGATATATCCCTTCTCTTTCTCTTCGGGAACACTCACTATATATAAAGATTTGTCGAAAAATGGTTCCGTATTTGCCGATTGACGTCGACTTCGACTTCGTGTTTCCATTTTCTTCAGTTTAGATCTAATAGTCTCTAAATAGTTGTCACAATCGGTGTCTCTCATCGCAAACGTTAATTCAAGCGTCTCTTCCATGTCTTCAGATATTAATGTCTCTATATTTGCTTTTTCATCATCAGATGCTTTACAATCCAATGATATTCTGATATTAGCGGTGAAACGGTTCCAATCAATGCACTTATCACTCATTGCCACCAAATCGGATGAGTTGTGTTCAACAGAGTATTCAATGAGAGTATTGCTGTCATCACCGGTTAAGGGGGTTATGGAGGGCTCGTAAGATATCTTGCATTTGGCGTTCAGTGAAGTGGGCATAAAGTGTGGCAAATGTGCCAAAAACTGACACTTCTTCACACAAACCCTGTCATCGCTCAACACTATGAGTGCGAAAGAGTTTGAGGGCCGGGAATGCCATGAATTGGTGCCGGAGATGGACTCGTGATAAGTAGGACACGATTTGTGCTCAAAATATATATTCACAGACATTATCATGACTTTGGTCTGAGAACCGCTTACTCGGAAGCTCTCGGACCGGATGTATAGTCGCAACGGATAGTGAGTGACACCCCGTATGTCACCACTGCTGCACACCAACGGCTGCTTCACAAACACCAACCCATCCAAAGAGGACACCTCCAAGAAGTGTTGGGCACCGGAATCGCTGAGAGTGGTGTCCAAGGAGTAGATGCGTCGGTCATCACTCGTCGCGTTCAATATAAGGGCTCCGACGCGGTTCAGGTGGTCCGGGAGGCGCACCCGTAGGCACTCGACCGCACACGCTGTCCACAACACCACCACAACCGTCCACCACTGCATTGCCATCACTGTCACTGTCACTATCTCGTGTCACAAGTGGTCACATCCATGTGTCCATCGCTCCATCACTTCATTCACACATTCATACAAACCATTCATTCATTCACTCATTCGTTGATAAACTAATCAATAGTTTGAGTGAGAGTTCAATGAAAGCACAAAAGACTCAATGAATGAGTCAATCAATGCATCAAAGCTATTGAACTGAGACTCACCTGTCATTGCGTTACACTCTTTACGAGAACTGCTGTATTGCAAAGCATATGCACTCTATATGCGAGACTACAGTTGTCTCATAATTATAGTCAATGTAGACAAACAACAACAACGTTCACTTGTGGGGAGGGTTTGTGTGAAGAATAAATTGATAAGAGTTACGACTTTTGAACCAATGAGACAACAATTGATTGCATGATATACAGGGAAAGCACTCTATTATATTGACCCATAGACAGGTATAATTGAGGTATATTTGTGCTATAAACCTATGATACCTTTCAAAATATCGAAAATTGTAACATCTATATTTATTTCGATAATTATTAACCAGCTAAATTAATTAGTGCCGTATTAGTGTTACAGTAGGACGGATAAAGTGGTCACCAACTTGTTAGACTACACACATGTAACATGTTGGTAGAGTTTGATTGCTATTACGGTACTAACTAACTAGTAATTACTTATCTGGTCTATATTAACAATAATAAATTTTACATACATTCAGGAAAAGTAAAGTTAATTACTTAATGCATAATTGAGGAGATTATCAATTTGCAAATCATGGCAATACTCCTGCTATAAGAATGCAAACCTAGACTTACTGTTAGTCTAATCTAGACTCTAGAATCTAGAGTAATAGGAATTAAGTATAACTTATGATACAATGTATTAAATGTTAATTCGATGAATAAGATTGAATTGGTAGTAGGTTAGGTGTGGGTCTATTCTATAATTAAGAATATGATAAAACAATTGACAAGAATAAGAATATTCTGTAATACAAATTGTATTATACAATACAATTGTGTAAGTATTGCTCAGGTAGGGCGTGTTTGGTGAGACGTGATTCATGGTTATCCCTAATTGTTATTGTTGTGGTTGTGGTGATAGACTGGAAGTGATTGAGTGATTGGAGTGATGATGGCATACATGGCATACACTGATGATGGAGACAATGATTTAGACATATCGTGTCAATGAAGAGCCAGTACTCGACACTGTCTGACGCTGTGCTCGACTCTCGGGTGCCGTTGAGATCTGAGGAGGAGTTCCGACTCGGAGTGACATTCAATGCCAAGGTTTGCACCATTGATGAGATGACCATTGATTGACTGATTGGTGTGTTTGTTAATCAGCTGATAGGGTGTGGATCAGTGCCGCGACCCAACTCGCGGGTCGAGATCGTGGCGGCCATGAGACGCATCCGCAGTGAGTGTCGGTCGCGGAAGGACAAGAAGCGGAAGGTGTTGGTGAGGGTGTCGTACGAAGGGGTTCGGGTGGCCCTCTCTGGGCGGTGCCAGTCATCCATGCTATGTGTGGCCCAACACCCCATTCACCGCATATTCTATGTCTCCCACGACTCACTCGATTTGCATGTCTTCTCATACATAGCACGCGATGGCAATGCCTTCAAATGTGTTGTCCTGAAGGCCAACAAACAGTCGGTTGCCGTCAATGTTGTCCGCACTATAGGACAGGCATTCGAGTTGTGCCATAAGATGGCTTTAGCCGACACCACCACCACTCACACCAACACCACTGACACCACTCACACCACCGACACTCTCACCCAACCATCCAATACTCAAATGGAAAGTCTGTTGCGAGACGTGGACTCAAAGTTAGACAAATTGGCCGAAAGGGTCACCTCTTTGGAGGAACAGATCACTACTTTGGTGCTGAAGGTCAGCGCTCAACACAATCAACACAATACTCACTTGAACCAATTGAATTCTCCCGACTCTCTCCTCTCTTCGCCCTCCAATACCAACAACTGTCTCATCGCTGACCTCTTCCAACCCATCCATTGATTGTCATCTCATTTATTGCCATTTATTTATGTATCCAATCATTCATTCAAAGCAAATGCAGAGTATATAACACTTAAGTCTAATAACCACAACACATAACACATACTCTAACTCTAAAGGGTTTAGTATTGACTGTTAATTCAATTCAATGTTATACTGTACTTATGATTCTCAATATCACATCAATAAATGTGTTGTTATTGTCATTGCATTCAATTTATTGCAACATTAATGCTCAACATAGCTATTAATTATCGGTAAAACAAGTGTTTATTTCGATGAACTGTTGTTGGCGGTGATGGCAGTAGCAATATTACCAGTATTTCATTACTATATCTAATTGGTTTAGATTGTTTAATTTAGCAAATTATTATTCTTATCAATTGTAAATAATATTTTAACAGGAAATCTTTATATCTAGTTAGAAATGCTAGCTAGAATAAACTTATTCTGTATAGTCTATAATATTCTGGTAAAAATTACTACCGTACAAAATAAAATTTCACTGACAAGTATTTTAATATGAATTATACTTGTATGATATAATCATAATCACAAAAAGTCTATTGAATTAAATTTATCGATATTTAAAGACCCTGTTGAACAGGGCCAGTTCACTAAACCGCAGCTGAAATTAGTATTAGTGAGCTCCAAATGTTTAAAAAGCTTAAAGTTAGATTTTATTTTCAAGGTACATTTTAAAGCATTCACAATAGTAATCATTTTAATAGTCATTATAAAAAATCATATTTGTGACTTTTAGTCTTATCAAATCAATGATAAGTTATAGTATCATCATCAAAATAACTAGTGTTGAAACAAATTACATTAATTTTAAAGTATATACTGTACATCACTATCTGTAATAATTCATAATAAGTGGAATTCACAATTACAGTATTAAATAGAGATGCATATTAAAGACAATAAAAACAATATTCATATATAAAGCTACGAGCAATCAAAACTGGTAGCGGTTTTCCCTTGATAATTCCTGAACAGATAATCGCATCCTAGATCTGACTTCAGAATCTTAATTCTGAATGAATGTACGATCTCTGGGTATATAAGATCATTATGTTATCATACGCGGTTTACACAGATATTCACATTTGAATATTGACAGCAAATTCATGAAACTCTCATTGGAAATACATTAGGGTTTTGAGTACTTTTAAGTATTTTGATTTAACTTTGAAATATGAAAAATAGCTGTACCTTGGCCATNCCAAAACAGCACTCATTTGATACAACAAGTCGTTGGTCTCGCGATCGGTGGCACTCATTGTGGTCACGATATATCCCTTCTCTTTCTCTTCGGGAACACTCACTATATATAAAGATTTGTCGAAAAACGGTTCCGTATTTGCCGATTGGCGTCGACTTCGACTTCGTGTTTCCATTTTCTTCAGTTTAGATCTAATAGTCTCTAAATAGTTGTCACAATCGGTGTCTCGCATCGCAAACGTTAATTCAAGTGTCTCTTCCATGTCTTCAGATATTAATGTCTCTATATTTGCTTTTTCATCATCAGATGCTTTACAATCCAATGATATTCTGATATTAGCGGTGAAACGGTTCCAATCAATGCACTTATCACTCATAGCCACCAAATCGGATGAGTTGTGTTCAACAGAGTATTCAATGGGAGTATTGCTGTCATCACCGGTTAAGGGGGTTATGGAGGGCTCATAAGATATCTTGCATTTGGCGTTCAGTGAAGTGGGCATAAAGTGTGGCAAATGTGCCAAAAACTGACACTTCTTCACACAAACCCTGTCATCGCTCAACACTATGAGTGCGAAAGAGTTTGAGGGCCGAGAATGCCATGAATTGGTGCCGGAGATGGACTCGTGATAAGTAGGACACGATTTGTGCTCAAAATATATATTCACAGACATTATCATGACTTTGGTCTGAGAACCGCTCACTCGGAAGCTCTCGGACCGGATGTATAGTCGCAACGGATAGTGAGTGACACCCCGTATATCACGACTGCTGCACACCAACGGCTGCTTCACAAATACCAACCCATCCAAAGAGGACACCTCCAAGAAGTGTTGGGCACCGGAATCGCTGAGAGTGGTGTCCAAGGAGTAGATCCGTCGGTCATCACTCGTCGCGTTCAATATAAGGGCTCCGACGCGGTTCAGGTGGTCCGGGAGGCGCACCCGTAGGCACTCCACCGCACACGCCGTCCACAACACCACCACAACCGTCCACCACTGCATTGCCATCGCTGTCACTGTCACTGTCACTGTCACTGGTCAGTGGTTGTCACAAGTGGTCACATCCATGTGTCCATCGCTCCACCACTTCATTCACACATTCATACAAACCATTCATTCACTCATTCGCTGATAAACTAATCAATAGTTTGAGTGAGAGTTCAATGAAAGCACAAAAGACTCAATGAATGAGTCAATCAATGCATCAAAGCTATTGAACTGAGACTCACCTGTCATTACGTTACACTCTTTACGAGAACTGCTGTATTGCAAAGCATATGCACTCTATATGCGAGACTACAGTTGTCTCATAATTATAGTCAATGTAGACAAACAACAACAACGTTCACTTGTGGGGAGGGTTTGTGTGAATAAATTGATAAGAGTTACGACTTTTGAACCAATGAGATAACAATTGATTGCATGATATACAGGGAAAGCATTCTATTATATTGACCCATAGACAGGTATAATTGAGGTATATTTGTGCTATAAACCTATGCTACCTTTCAAAATATCGAAAATTGTAACATCTATATTTATTTCGATAATTATTAACCAACTAAATTAATTAGTGCCGTATTACTGTTACATGTACTAAATTTACTGCAGTAGGACGGATAAAGTGGTCACCAACTTGTTAGACTATAAATTTTACACATGTAACATGTTGGTAGAGTTTGATTGCTATTACGGTACTAACTAACTAGTTATTGCTTATCTGGTCTGTATTAACAATAATCAATTTTACATACATTCAGGAAAAGTAAAGTTAATTACTTAATGCATAATTGAGGAGATTATTAATTTGCAACACTTTAACAATGCAAACCTAGACTTACAGTACTTGTTAGTCTAGTCTAGAGTAATAGGAATTAAGCATAACTTATGATACAATGTATTAAATGTTAATTCGATGAATAAGATTGAATTGGTGTGGGTGTAGGTTAGGTTAGGTTAGGTTAGGTTAGGTGTAGGTGTGGGTCTATTCTATAATTAAGAATATGATAAAACAATTGACAAGAATCAGAATATTCTGTAATACAAATTGTATTATACAATACAATTGTGTAAGTATTGCTCAGGTAGGGTGTGTTTGGTGAGACGTGATTCATGGTTATCCCTAATTGTTATTGTTGTGGTTGTGGTGATAGACTGGAAGTGATTGAGTGATTGGAGTGATGATGGCATACATGGCATACACTGATGATGGAGACAA